AGATAGAATTCAGCAGCATACAACCTAAAATAAAAAAAAAAATTAGTACTTGTATTATTAAAAGAATAAAAAAATAAATTCCTCTTTTACTTCATTGCTTAATTCCTTCTCATTTATTATAAAAAATTTTAATGATTTGCATTTTGTATTATACAAAGGATCGGCCCATAACAGAGGCACAGTAAAACGGCAAAATGTGCGATCGACTAAGAGGCAATTATATAAAGTGTGGTGGTCATATTCAAAGTTTTTAACAATTTCTAAATAACACTCATTTGTTAATTTCATTTCGATATATTTCAATATATCGCAAAATACTATTATATAGAATATACCGTATTGTCTCGAAATAACGCCCGGGGTGTAGGTTAAAATGTTGGCCCGAATCAAGATTTAATTCGGCCTAAATAAAGCTTAATCTTTTGCTACACCTTGTGGCATTATTTTGAGACAACGGTAATGATAATTTATCACTAATTTATGAATTGTAAAAGTTCAATTTCAAGAATAGTGAACTCTTAATTAGACCCTTAATATCGGGTGTTGGCGATTGGTAACAAAAGCAAAATATAATGCATCTATATTACTTCAAAGATTTTTTTTTCTAAATCGACAAATAAATATTTTTATCACTTTACACATATAGTGTCCTCCACTTCACTCCGAACAAGATTCTTTAATTAAATTGACTACTGAACAAATATATTTATGTACATTTAGCAAATAAGATTTTTCAATGTATATATATTTTATATGTTTATTTAAAAAAGTGAATAATTTTAATATGATATTGTAGAAAAAGCCCAGCAAATTGAATGTAAAAACTTTTAAAAAAAATTAAGGCATTCGAAAAATGCAAAATGAATACAAACTTAAAAATGAATCAATCACTAATTGTAATAAAATTTTAGAAAATCCAAAAAGATTGATATATACTAACAGTAATAAGGTAAGTAAAAAAATTATAACTATTTTTTCTACTTTTCTTTGAGTCTCGGATTTCTCGAATTTCTTATTTATTTCTTCAACTTTTCTTATTATCGTACGCATGTCATCCTTAACAGAGTCCTGTTTCGTTAGAAAGTATCCTTCGATAACACGATCAAGTTCTTGAATATTTGTGAATAAAATATTGTTTGGCAAACTTGCACATTTTTTAACAGTAATCCTCGAGAAAGCGACAGGAACTGATGTTACATGAATAGCCACAGTATTATCTGGCGGCAACTCGTCAATGATTTCAAGAAATTGTTCAATATCACAAACTTTAAGTATTCCTTTAACTTTGTTGTTGCAGTATACTAAAACATAACGTTTTTTGTGAATTCCAAACAAAATGTTTCCTGATCTATAAAGAAAAAAAAATTTTTATAAGTAATTATCATTAATTGCATCCTATTCACCACAACCTCCATGCGAAGCAGGACAAGCTTTTCGGAACAGACATAACAGAGAAGGACGTTCACAGACATTGCATGTCTGTGGCCACGATGTGCTTCCAGTTCTCCGATGTCACCCTAGTGGCAGCGTAACTTCAGATACATAACGACAAGAAATTAACTTAGTGATTTCTCACCTAAATTCAAGAATAATTTCACTAAGTTTCAGTCCCGTGCAAACTTTGTCAGTGAAATCAGTTAAATCAGTTAAAGCATTTTTAAGCAACATTATAACTAACACTAAAAACACTATAAAAAACAAATCTCACATATTTATCTGACCTTTAATTTTCTCACAATTTCAGGGGTGGAAAAATTGGATTTCGTGAATTAAATTGGCATTAATATATAAAAGTGTCTAAAAAACATAAACTTAGGTAAATAAGATTGAAGCAAGAAATGAGTTCTTATTAAATGCATAACAATAGGTCCAGTTCGAACTTTTGGTCTTTATAAAAGAAAAAAAAGACTTACTAGTTTTTCTAATGTAACAGTAATCTGTCGTTATTCGTTATCGTTATAATTTTGATTTAGATACTGATAATCATGGAGATGTGCCACTAAAAAAATTCAGATATCACTATGCCGATCTTAACTATTTGGCACTGGGGCGTGACTAATCATAGGATATTACAAACAGTATTGCTGTATTGTCAATGGACATGGACATGGACAGTTAATGTCCATGGACAAATAAAGAGTATGTCCATGTCCATGGACACAGTGATGTCTATATTGTGACCAAATTAGAATTTTCTTTTTGTTGTAATTTTGTTTTTTAAAGTATTATTTATACGTCACTGCAGAATTTGCTAATTTAACGATAATTGTAGCAGAATTTTTCAGTTAGAGCAGGACACTCTAATCCAGCAAAACCTTAATAAATAGAGATGAAAAAAGAAACGGTGTTATTTAGATAAAAAAAAATAAAAATAAAATAAATAATATTTAAGATCGAGTATTTCACCACTAACAATCCTATTACCATTACGCTAAAAGCCTACCTTTTAAAATAAAATAACTTATGAAAATGCATTTCTTCTAAAATTTGATATTACTGAAGCTTGATACAGTAACGTACGTATAATACGTGTTTTAACATGACTTTTACAATTTTGGAAACAATCAGAATAAGGTTTACTGTTATGTGCAGGTTTTTATCTTGTGCAAAACTTGTATCCACATTAATGCAATAGTATAGCCAATCAGAATTATTACCGCCAATAGCATGCTTGGACATTTGGACATCGTCCGTGGACAAATGTCCATGTCCAATGATTTGATTGGACATTTATTACCGATCAGCCAATCAAATCATTGGACATGGACATTTGTCCATGGACGATGTCCAAATGTCCAACCATGCTATTGGTAGATAACGTAAAAACACGCAATATGTGGCAACATAAGACTTTTACAATAACATGCTTGGACATTGGACATTGTCCATGGACATATGTCTATGTCCAAAAATTTTGTTGGACATTTGTCCATGTACGTACATTACTTGCCGCAGGATGATCATGTGGACATGGACATTGGACATTGTCCATGGACGTCCATGTCCAACGATTTTGCTTGGACATATGTCCATGTACAATACTGATTACAAATACAGTAAAACATTTACTTATAACGATAACCGTCACAGTCATAATGAATTATTATTTCCCTACAAAATAAAATTATTTACGTACTGTACAATCATTTTTTTGTGATTAGATACAATATCACGTTCGATTTTAAATTCGATTATACCTAAGACATTCAGTCCTTAGATTATTGCAAGCACATACAGTCTTAAAAGCAAAAATCAAATAATACCGTTTATCTCATAATTGACTTTGGATGACATTATGAAATCTAAAAATTACAATAAGGCAGAAATAATGTATGTAGCAATTCACTTTTTCGATTAAGTGTAGAGTGTTTATAAATATTTAAAAGACCATTGAACGTAGTGATGTGGTCGCAATTTAAATTTTTGTTTTAAATAAAATCGATTTGTTTGAATCACAAATTATGAAAGTATAAATTTTATTTTCTATCAATTGAATTAATTTTCTATCAATTGAATTAATAATTGTGAAAGTATAAATTGTTAGATGAATTAAAAATTTTAAATTTGGCGATTTGGCATTATCTTCAATTTTATACAATACAGTACTGTGTTAATATCACTGGATTTAATGAACACTAGTCCCATTTATACGTTTTTTCTTGTTAATTTCCTCAATGATCAAGTATGTAATTATTGATTTAGATGGCCTTTTGGCCAATACTGAAGAAAAATATATGTTGCATATTCAGAATATATTTGATCATTATGGTTTGCAATATACATGAGATATACGTGCGAGTCAAATTGGGTTTTCCCTTGAAAAGTCTAATGCTTTTTTAGCAGATTTGTTAAATAATAGATGTTTATTGAATTTGACTTCTGATGAGTTTAAAGATATGAGAAACGTTAAAAAAATAGCTTTTTCTAATTCTGAGCTTGTGGATGGTGCTAGAGAAGCAATTCATTTTCTTAATAAGGCGAATTTCAAACTTATTTTAGCAACTAATTCTACCTATGGGGAGCTAAAACAAAAGATATATAATAATATCGATGTTACTATTAACAAATTATTTAACAAAAATTTTTTAAATGTTATTTATAAATCTAATAATAAGAGTGAAGTTAATAAATATAAACGCGTTTTAGAGAAGCGTTTTCTGGATGCAAATGAGTGTCTGGTTATTGAAGATTCTTATTTTGGTTTGAAATTAGCTAGAAAATTGGGCTAAAGGTAATTATTTTTTTATTCTTTTAATAATACAAGTACTAATTTTTTTTTTTATTTTAGGTTGTATGCTGCTGAATTCTATCT